TACCGACCTCGGAAGGATGGAAGGCTGAGTCAATCTTTGACCCAGTGTTGTGGCCCGCCAGTGGCCTGCGCGGATCGTGGCTGATCCCGACGATGAGGAGGCTGGTGTGGGGTCCCGCCGGCAGCCTGCGCAGCCAGTGCTCGCGTTGGACAGCAAGGAGGCTGAAGAGGATGTGGTGCCAGAGGCAGAGACTCAGCCAGGGCCTTCAGAACCTCCAGAGGCTCCTTCAAGTGGAGAGAGCAAAGTGGAGGCGCCTCTTCTCAATGCTCGAGCACGCAGGGCTGCCAAAAGGCAGGACTGGCTACTCAGGAGGAGGAGGTCTCCTTAAGAGTAAGGTTTGAGGATAATTGGCCACTCCCTTAGCCTATTTAAGTCGCACGCTGTTGGTAATTTCTTGCTGGAAACAACGTGTAATTATTACAGAGCATTTTGGAGAGTGAGTGTCTTATCGTATCTTGTTTTCTGGGCTGGTTGCCAACCTTTGCCGGACTTTGTTTATTCTTGATACGTTATAACTTTGATAAGGACCGTTGGTGTGTGTCACAATCCTTGGGAATCTGGAGCTGGGGCAGAACACCCAATTAGAATCAAATTTCATGCAGCCAGCAGAGTTAACCTGCAATACTACATTCTAACCACTGCACAACCACGGCTCTTAAAATTACGTGCATCAAGATTATGTGCATCCATGGAGAAAGGAGGGAGGAGAATGATAAAACGTGTTTTCATTGCAACACAAATTCTGTTCCTCAGGTACTTGCATGGGGTTGTAATGAAAACACAGAGAAAGGGATTACATTGTGAGGTTGCATTTTGTCATCACTGAGGATACTTCTTAGAGGCAGAATATACTGAAATGACACTAACAGTCAACAACAATCTTCTATTTTCCTCTTACTACATCTGCAATGAAAGCAGAAAGAATTTTCTCTGATCTTTATTTTTCACAGCCCCAAGGAAAAGTACAGTAGCTGAAATAAATAGACCCAGACATGCAAAAGTTAATACAGATTTCAACAGGTTATCTGGATTATTTATTTCCTAACACTTATTCAATTTTTCCCCCCGTTTTCAAAATTCATTAGTTTCTGGACAGTTTATGCAAATATAAACAAGATATACCTTCTATGCCATCACCATTGAAATCCCCTACAGCAACTGAATAACCTGTCAAGCATGAAAATGAGAAAATGAGAACTCAAGAATTAATATTAATAATTCAATAATTCATGGAGATACTCTATTTTGAGATGCACCCAAAAACATTTTTAGACATCTATTTTAAAATAAACCTGTTCATGGAGCTGCTGAAATCATTCTCACTGTTGACTAATAGGGGGTGCTATTTCTCTTTCAAAATTGAGAAAAAACTGAATATAGGTAATCCTCGATTTACAACCATAACTGAGCCTGAAATTTCTGTTGTTCAGTGAGACATTTGTAAAGAGACATTTGCCCCATTTTACAACCTTCCTTGTCTCAGTTGTTAAATGAATCACTGCAGTTGTTAAATTAGTAACACAGTTGTTAAGTGAATCTGGCTTCATCATTGACTTTGTTTATCAGAAGGACACAAAAGGGGACCACATGACCACGGGACATGGTGACCGTCATAAATATGAGTCAGCTGCCAAGTGTCTGAATTTTGATCACATGACCGTAGGGAAACTGCAAAGGTTATAACTGTGAAAAATGGTCGTAAGTCATTTTTTTCAGTGCCATTGTAACTTGGAACGGTCACTAAATGAACTGTTCTAAGTCGAGGACTACCTGTACACAACTGCAGAATTAGAATTCACTATCTAATACAGCTTAAGTATAGACTGCATTTTTAAAAATAATTACTTGAAGAGGGAAACTGAAAACTCTCCAGTAAATATGTGCCAGTCATATATATATATATATTTTAATTTGGCTGTATATAGGACAGTTCTTCTTTCGGAAACATCAAAAACAAACATATTTTCACTGATCTCATTGGGAAGCTTCATCCCAGTGAGTATTAGGATGAAGAACGCCAAGATTGGTTTTAACACAAATTTACAACATTTCCTGTTTCAGAGTCAAGTACCCACCCAAATAACTGTCGTCGAAAGTAGCACTAGCTGACCGTGTTGCTAACTGGTGATCGTATTTGGTTGTGTAGACTTTAGGGCTGTATTTTGACACAATCTCAGCCACTTGATCAGAGATTAGCTGGCCTGGAGAAAAGCGAAAGGGAATACCTTGAAATAATACAGTTCTGAGCAGGTATTTGTTGTCTCGTCATAAAATGCAATTCTATAATGCTGGCTTTGAAACTAGTCTTATTGTTGGGGGCAATATGCTGACTTTGTAATCCGCTTAGAGAGGACTGTAAAGCCCTGTGAAGCGGTATATAAATCTAAGTGCTATTGCTATTACTAGGTAACTGTGAATAGGAAAGCCAAACTAAGTCCAGAAATAAAATAACATTTTTTTGGTTCATTGCAATAAAGAGGTGTAAAGAATTAAACCAAGCATATCTTTGGCCTGATAAAAGGGATAAAGGTAGCACGATCCTATGTGACATACTCACAATTAAGATATGATCTATAAATCCTTAGCAGAAGTGTTTTTTTCCAGTGAGACAGGTCTATCAGGGCAACCTGGTGTACCTAAATATGGGATGGAGCATACTGCTTCCGCTTCCGCCTTTCAGCCCCAATCCAGGAACCTTCGCAAGGCAGTTTCTTCTGCAACAAACTATTTTTGTGTTAAATTTAAATTTACCAACAAAGAAATAAAGGGAGACAAGTTGTCTCCCTCTATTTCTTTGTCAGTAAGTTTAAATTTAACACTCCTTAGCAGAAGGTTTTCTATAGTTCATAGAAGTATACTATAGATTTAACAGAGTGACCTGTATCAATTATCTAAGCACCTTGCTGAGTGCTTCAAAATTCAACAAATGTACTTACACCTAATTCCTAGGCTGGAGTGTCTGGCTAAACCCACAATTGATAGCAATTAGCTGGAAAACCCCACTCAGATTAATCTCCACAACAGTATTCTGTGGTAGAAAAACAGCAATCTTGCAGCATTATAAAGCCAAAGTATATTCATTTCTGTTTTTGTAACCGGGATCCTAATTTACCAGAAACATGAGGCATTAAAGCCTAACATGCAGATGTGCATAACTGAATCTCTACAACTTCTCCTGCTGAGAAAAGTCCTTTTCAAATTTTGAGCAGAGCAATTTTTAGTTTAATAGTTAACTATGGCAAAAAAAAAAAAAAAAATCTCTGGATTGCAAAAAAATCAGATGACAATTTAACGGAAGTAAAAAATTTGCTGCCTTCTGAAGTCTGGTAGCCCAGATAGTGTAAATTGATTAAATTACATATATAAATATAATTTATATAATTTGATTAAATTACATATATAAATATGTAATTTCATTAAATGTAAATGGTCATTACTATTTAAAAATCGAGCTATTTCAGGAATGTGTAAACAATATAATCCCTGTTTACATATTCTATGCTTAGGCCTCTGCCTGTCACCAGGAAATGTTATTTTATATTGGGATTTTTGTAATATTCAGGTGCCCTAAAAAGATATTTCTGCTTTACAACAGGGAATCCAGTAAAGTTAATGCATTTCCCCTTCCTACAGCTGCTTATAACCTTATGAGGATCAGGCACCTCATAGGAGAAAAACAGCTAAGAAAGATCAATAGGAAAAAGACTAAGCATTCCCACATAACATGTCTATTTCAGCTACTTCTAACTCACAATATCTGTGGAATAAAAAAAAAAAATCATTTTTATTTTACATCAGGCCAAGAGTAAACAAATTAAGTAACTGTCATTTTATTCATCAAATCCCTTGTTTTACCTTGCCAATAAAAGCTCCCAGGTCCTCCAAGTAGAACTCTGTCTTTCTAGACAGGAAAGACAGAGAGAAAAAGAGGTTTCTTTATTGTAATATCTAAAAATAAACACTCAGACTGAGCTGGACCCGATACAACATTCGGTGACTGAAGATTGCTCCACTGTGTCTGATCTATGATTTTTTATTTTTTATTTTTTGCTTTTTCAGACACGTCTCGAACTTCATATAATTCCCCTCACAGAGAATCCTGGCCAGTCTAATACTAGTATTTTTGTTTATTATTTACCACCATATTGGTAAGTGCATTCATATTTTGTGGTATTTCAACTTCCCTGTTTCACATTTCTGTATTGTTCTGTGATTGCTAAAATAAATCTCTAGGAAATGTTGCATAACTCATCTCATTTAAATCTCATTGCTACCCATTGATTGAATAGACACTGCTAGGCAAATGTATTTTTCCCTCTCAATCTTCTTATTGAAAAAAAAAGATAATAATTCTCACCCACCATATAGAATGGTTAAGACACTAATAGTATGCATTAGCTGCAAAGCTAACAAATAATTTAGGGGTGTGAGCATGAGTTAACTGAAGCCCAGAAGTGAGTGTCCTCTCTTTTCTATCTTCTTCCAGGAAATATTAGGAGCTGGAAAAGATTGGAAGCATCAGCTACACCAACTAGTGGCAGCTGTAGCATGTAGAATGATGAAAGTAGGCAGAGAGAGAAAAACGGACCATTCAAAAGACCAATCAACAAGAGAACCAATCAGTTGCTCAGAATTTAAATATCACTCCAAAAGAACAACCAATCACACGACCAACTGACCAAACTGGCACATAAGACATTTATATACTAAGGAGACTAGGACAAGAAAAACCTGCTGATGATGTTACCTAGTCTGGTAGCGAAACGTTCAGAAACTAAATTGAAGCTTGGAGAGCAAACCACTGCCAAAATCTAAAACCCGAGCTACAAGTATTTTCTATTATTTCAAAGAGAAAAAACAGTGTTAGGATGCAAAGACGGCTCCTTTCGTACATGTGTCATGATGTTACACACACACACATTTGAAAGGAATAGAGCTCATGGTAACATTGCTTTCATTGTTTTGATAAAAGCAGCCAGCCTCTATGAATGCCTATCCTTGAGGATGCTAAAAGTTTAAAGAAAGAAATCAAGATAGCATTGGTTTCTGATACTGGTTTATTTTATCAGGCCACATTTTTACTAAATTTAATTTCTGGTTTGAACATTGCATTTTTATTTGGATGCTGTGATAAATAAGTAATGACTTGAACAAGCCTTGCGTATAGGGCCTGTCAAATTTTTCAATGTTCAATTTCCAAACATTAGGGGTGGTCAAAAGTTGTGACAGGCCTTGGGAATTGTAAGGATATTTTGGTTATTTTAATACAATTTAGATGTGCTTGGTAAGTAACTACATAAATATCCTACTTTAAGATCAGCGAATTATTATCAATGTAATGAATACTGTTGTAAATTTTGATGGTTATTGCACAGAGATATATGTACCCAGACAACACACTGTTGAATGGAAGATGAAATGTTTATATAAAAAAAGAAAGAAAGAAAGAAAGAAAGGAAGGAAGGAAGGAAGGAAGGAAGGAAGGAAGGAAGGAAGGAAGGAAGGAAGGAAGGAAGGAAGGAAGGAAGGAAGGAAGAAACAAGAAGTGAATTTGAGCCAAGGTAATATTAAGGCTCATTCATAAAATTCTAAATTTGTAGGAAATACATCTCATCCAAGTCAATTGTTCACTTAACAGTCCCAATCCCTCAATTAATGCATTTACTACAAGGGAGGAAATAAATTTTCTGTGCTACGTATCAAGTGCAGTCCTTTGCCTTGGATAAGGCAAGCTGAGATTACAGAAATGACATCCTACTCTGTTGCTCACTGCTTCTGTCTATGATGGACACGTTTTCTGTTACTATATAACGACAAATGTGTGTACATAGAGGGATATATGTACATTGCCTCCGTGTATATGTATATGCATGTACATATCTCTATGTATTCCAGCATTTTAAATTAAAAGTTCAGAATTAAAACACTTGAAGGGGGCTTAAAATATGAAATCAAAGAGAATTTTTTAAACCAAGTTCTCATATAAGTGTAAAGGAACAAGATCCGGTAAAGGATTAACATATTTCTTTTTTTTTTTTTTAGCCATTTATTTTCTTTGTAGATTTCCTCCCATGCAATTTTGGATAAAGTAAATAATTTCAGTTAGGACAATTTCATCAAAAAAGGCCAGATGGGGGCATGGCTGTGCCATTAAAGCCCCACCTTCTACACATGCATGTTATATTAATACAGGTACAAAAAGGCTACAGGAATGAAACAATAAGATGCTGCTTGTAAAGTTACTTTGGTTGATTTCCCTGCCCAGAGTTGGGTTTTACAGATACTTTGCCCTCTACTGTGGAGTTCTGAGATAGAAGGAAATATGCAGAAATAACTTCCATACCTGGGTAAAATCAATGCTGAATCCACCTTGACAAAAGCCCTGTCCTTCAGCATCAGTGCTTCCTATGGCAATAAAAAACAATAGAAATGATTGTAAAGTTGTGTAATACAAAATTTCTACGCAACATAAAGAAAGGTGGTGTGCAAACTGAGGAATCTATGAGAGCTGGTTTGAGGGCAAGGATAAGGCAAAAAAGTTCTTACATCTGGGAAGGACAGCTTGAAGGGGGAAAATATGGAAAAAGTAATAGTTGTTCTGCAAACTGAATCCCATATGGAGTCTCAAAATCTTCAGAAGAGGAGACGAACAGAGGGATGGTGCTAATTCTAATCTCATTTCTTTCAAAATAACACTATGCTGTAATTTATTATAGGAAAACTCAGTTCTTATAGGAAATATCCTTGGAGGCTGTGGCTATTCTGGATAGCTTCATATTTAAAAGTTGCTAAGGTCTTCTTACTCTACCTTCTTAGAAACATCTTTGTTTTTCCATTCCATTTCCCCACATCACTGTGAGTAGCCCATAATTCCTTCATTCTTACCTCCTCCCTATTTTTTAATCCCCAAGTACTTCTTAGGGGGGAAAAGGTGATGAGAGGCAGTCTTCGGTCCTGCAATTCCTCACTTACATTTTTAGTTTAGTTTTAGTTTATTTTATTGTCATTGCACATGGCATAACAAAATTAAATGCCATCTTCAATGTACATTATAACTATAAAAATAAAAACACAAATATACATCCTTTACATTCTATGTCCTTTACATTTCTATATGAAATTGAAAACCCGATATTGCACTATACCGAAGAATTCAGTATGGTTATTGCCCTGGGATAGAAGCTGTTTTTCAGCCTATTTGTCCTTGTTTTTATTTTAGGTGATGCATGCCAGTTACAAGGTGATCACCTCACTAGCTGCTTTTGAGAATGCATTTCAGTGACAAGTAACCTTGCACTTCCTGAAGCTTGGACAAAACTACACAGTTGGCAACCTGCTAGGAGAAGCACAGCCAACCTTGTATTTTTCCCTGCTTGATAGCCACATTTCCAAGATTGAACTCAGGCACTGAAAGCAAAATTGTTAACCACTATTCTTCTGACATCAGTTGACAGGACTTCATAGGGCTTTGCCAATCTTACATTGTGCAAGTATGATCTACTGACATACTGAACTAATGAGAGAAGGGTTTGTTCTGAGTTATTACAAACAATATTGGCTTAAAATATTGCCTGTTTCAAAATATAAATGTGAAAGTTAAGCATGCTCTAGAATGACATGTTGCTCTTCTATATTTACAACGCAGTTATGGCCAGACATAGCAATGAAATGCAGTTTGCATTAAAACAGGAAAAGGCATTCCTCTGCAGATCCCTTGAAGGCTAGGAGAGAATCCAAGAAGCTTTTTATGACATGGTTAATCCTCTGACTACAGAGCTTCAGAAAAGAAATGCTAACAATCTTTTCATTTGTATGTTCTTCTGATCTTGGCCTTTCTTTTCATATTGCACTTTAACTAGATGGTTGGCTGGAAGAGATGTTCAGCCAACTCCAAAATGGTTCCCTGAATTCTTTTGAATCCTAGTTGGAATGGGTCACACATGCTCCAGTTCATACATAATTTGGATTTGCTGCATAATTTTCCCCAAATTTCCTAACAGATTAATTTACTCCCGCTCAGTTGGGAAAAGGGATCAATTCAGGAGCATGTATGAAAGGATAAAGCTCCCATTACTTTTTACTTTATTTTACTTTATTGTCATTGCACCTCGTACAACGAAATTAAGTGTCATCTTCAGTGCCATTATGATGTCACAATCTGTGTTTTTATTATTCTGGTATCATCATGGTTAGATACAGGCTTGTGAAATCATAGAGGATGTGGTGGGGGGAGGGGAGAAGGGGAAGCAGAACAAGCAAATCCAAGTCATCATACTCAAGATTATCCTCTTCCATTCATTTTCAGATTCAAATCTTCATAGTGTTTTTCTATGAAATCCAAGTCAAGAGAAAGCACTAAAAAGATAGATTTGCCCTCTTTCCATTGTTTTCTGTTAAGGATCCACCCAAATGACTGTAGAGAGATGAAGGAACAATATGTGAAATACGGGTGATTAACATTCTTCCCAACAATGCATGAAATATGACAATACATAGAAAACAGAATTTGCGCTGTAATTGTAACAAGACATTCTGTACATACTTGACCTGCAAGGGGCATATTCAACAGCTTTAGACCCATCATGAAGATAACAAGTTCCCACAGGTTCCCTCTGCGCTTTCTGTTCAGTTCTCCAGTGATATAAAGGAGCACATGCCTACAGATGAAATATTTAGAAAGCTCTTTAAAAAGGGCAATGGCCATGGGAAAAATCAAGGGAACAGAATGGTTATGAGCAACAAACAGCTATGGAAAACAAAGAAAAACACCAATGCACTGATGATAAGTCTATTCAACTGAATACTGTTTACCTACTGGATGCACTTTTCAAATAAGACACATTATGTGCCTTTCAAAACAACTGGGCTGAAAATCCCCCCCCCCCCCAAAAAAGTACATTAAATTTGCAATGAGCCCTACTATGAGTTTGCTGATATTGCTAAACTGTGAAGTGGGAGGAGTTGATGTGCTGTATTTTACAATTCAGTGGCTTCATGCATGTGTTAGAATGGGCCAAGAAAATTCAGGGGGAAGAGTTTGTATATCAATTTTATGCTGATGTGTAATGAAGCTGAGAGACTCTCCATGACGTATCACTTGCTCTTGAGCCCACATAAGAGTTACAGTTGACAGAACTAAGATTTCAATACAAACCAAGCCAACCCTTTATGCACGCTGACTGGAAAATTCTGGGAGTTAAAAGTCCACAATTCTTAAAACTGCTGAATTGAGAAACACTGATTTAGAAATTTCATTTTCTGTTTTCAAAGTCCTAAATATGATTGCTACAGTTTCAGTGAACTAATGCCAGAGTTTTTCTATCTCCACTGACTGTCAATCCTTCTCTGGACCCAATTTAAAATGCTGCTTTTACATTTATAACTCTAATTGATTTTGGCCCTGATTAATTGACAAAGCTATATTTATCTACTGGATGCTAAAGCCATCTATGCTCCAATCAAAGAAGTGACCTGTAAGGAAGAACTTTTCATATCCTTTTCAGAATTTATATTTGGATATTGTAAAGTGATTCATTTTGGTAGAGCAACTGAATATTTATTTAGTCCCTTAAAGCATGTTATGATTGCAGTACTTTTAGATTAGACACCGGTTTATTTTGTTGTTGTTCTTTTTTATGTAATGGGCTGTGGGTTTTTTTGCTGCTAGATCCGTTTTTATTTTATCATATGTTTTAGCCTTTAAAACATATATTCATGTTCCAAAAATGTTTTTATTGCTTGTATTTTATGTCTATCATGTTATGCAGTCATGGTAGTGGTATGTGACAAGCCTTAAAATGAAGACTTACCAAAATTTTATTTTCTTTAGATCTCACAGACGCCCCAAACCATTGATGTGATTTGAATTCCAAAAGATCATCTACAGCAAATTCTCTGTTGCCTAGAAGACAAAATATTTAGACGGAATTCTGTGAACATGACCTTGGAATGTGACAACATCCTAACTTTTTAATGAATATCAATCTCTCCGAAGTGATAACAGAAGTACACACAAATATCACTAGTTTTTTCATCACTTGACAAGTTTATAACTTCAAAGCTGAGCTTGTGAACTGATGCCACTGAAAGATCCTGCAACTGAGATAATGTGAGGTTGTAAAGGTTGTATCTGAAGAGACCAATCCAGAATGATTCATGCGCAAAGAGCATATATTCTTCAAAAGCAATATTAGCCATTATCATCCTGCTTTGCTTGCTTGCAAAGGCCTGAATGCTGTTTCATCACAGACTGAGATACATTTCTCTGAAACTTGATAAGGGTTAGGGTCCATTAGAAAATGACTGACGTACAAATATTCTCCTCATAAATTTAAAAGAATATGACTATGTAATATGTTCACTATGTCAAGAAACTGAAATGGAATTTCTCCCTTCCTTCCTCCCTCCCTCCCTCCCCATGGAAAGAAAAATTGTGCAAAAAAAAAAATAAAATAAAAAATCTAATATTTAAATTACAAACAAGGAAAGTTAGGACTGGTACATAAAAACATAACTGTTTTTAAGACAATACAGCAAAATATTAATAAAGGAATGCCAGGATAGAAAAATCAGGCCTTCTAACTACAGAGGGTTCACATATTTAATTAGAAAATAAGAGGCTGTATGACGTAGAATTTAAGGTATTTAACTGTGAATAGGTAATCTACATTTCAGTGCACTCTCAACCATTGAGGATTACTAAGTAAGTATAAATTTCACAGATGAATAATTCTGTAGTTGTCATGCAAGGGGTGTTGTTTATTTCAAATATTTATTATTACAGTCAAAGACCAGTACAATTATAGCTACTCAAAGAGTATCTAGTTAAAATGTCTAGAATAAAATAATAAAATCTATGTTGAAGTCATAATTTGGCAGTCTTTTTATCAATTGCACGTAAAAAAGAACATGGCCTAAACTATAATGTAATATTAATCCTTAAATTGTGAAGGCTCTTGTTTATTGTCGCTTGTCCTAGAAAAAAACAATGTTGGGCCCATCAGAAAAAAGATATGCAACAAATATGTGGATAAAATTGCTTGTATTCATACCAAATATTGGACACAGTTTTTAATATACTATATATGGTATCCAATAGACCCTTGAGTCCAGATTATGTAGCCTGATGCCATGGAAAAGATACTCTCTGCTTTACCCCATGCTTTCTTAACCTCCATAATTCTACTGTATTCTGATTTCACCTATGGCACCACCTTCAGCCTAGTGGTAGGAAAATTGCTTTTGTTATTCAGGAGATGGCCGTGGCTTTCTGAGGTGCTGTTCTGCAGATCACCAGATATGAGATTCTGTGAAGCTGGTGTCTAGGAAGTAGAAGGGATTGCTGTTATTGTATTCATTTCCCTGCTGCCTGGTGACTTTCTATCTTGAGCCTTGTTTCCATACCTTGGAAGGTATGTTGAGGGGTGCCACAAGGCAATGTTCTGCCTTCAGTGCTATTTAATAACCTCATGGAATCATTGAGGTGATCATTAAGGACTTTAGAGCTATGTGTCACCTATTTTGAATTTTTTAAAAATAAAGATTTAGAAAATTTAGGTGGTTACCCATCTTAAATAACCAACTCTGTGTCACTAACAACCAATACATGCGAGTGAAACCATGTGATAAAACCCTACAAAAACAAAAAATACAATTAAAAATAATCGTAAAGATAACCACAGAACTGCATAACTAACTTACAAGAAATACTGGTCTTTACTTCCATCATGACCCTAAAGCCATAACTACAATTAAGAACTTGAAACATTCATTTCTAAGTTTAAATGACAGCAGAGCAAGAGTAGCAACCTGATTGCTAACTGTTAGAAACAGATCTGCAAGGAGAGAGTTCAATTGTCCAAGCCCTTGAGTTTCCTACCAAGAATATTTTCACTGTGATTTAATTGTAAATGGGGCAATGGAGGAGTTTGGGTGTAGTTCTTGATTCCTCATTGCCCTTGGAAACCCAAATCACTGGTGTGATTAGGAGCTCCTACTGCAACTTTCAGATGGTATAACATGACACACAGTCTTTCCTAACTACAGTTCTTCATGTGCTGGTAACCCTGGAGACAGTTCTTGTTGCCAATTAGCTACTGAGCCCAGTTCAAAGTTTTGGTTATGACATATAAAGCTATAAACTATTTAGGAGCAGGATAGTATCAGATCACCTTTGCCTTTATAGATCTGGCCAATTACTGACATCATCAGGTAGATCCTGTTATGTGCACTAGTGCCCACTGAATATCATCTGTAAATAATTGTAGACAAGTGTTCTTTAAGGTGGCTCATGCACATTAAAAGCCATTTCCCCGATAAGTAGGAAGTACCTATCAAACTAATTTCTTCAGCATAAGTGTTCAGTGCAAGCCACAGTGATGCTGCATGAATGACATAATCATTCAAAAGATGCAGACAGGAGGAAAGAAAGGTGGAAATGGAGTTTATACGACAAATGTTAGCAAGGTCAAAAATGTGAAAAGGTTCCTGGTCCAAATTGACTTATGTTTGGGAGTAATAATAAACATAGGATAAGCAGAAAGCTAGATCAGAAAATTAATGAATCTACTAAGCAGTTCCATTCCCTCTCTGTGATTACGGTAGATAATGAAAAGTATACATCAAACTATGTAATATCTTCATGCTGATGGCATTTCAGCCACATTTGCAAAGAGCGTTTTCTATGGATTCATGTTGGTGCTAAAAAGCAAGAAAACCCAAGATGGAATCTTGAGGCATTTCATAATCATCCAATCAGAAACAAGTCACAAGAAGATCATAGTAGATGGTATTCCAAACTAGGGAAAAGCCCAAAAGAACTAAAAAAAATCATAATCTGTCTCCTGAAGTAAATAATCTACTGGGACAATCACCAATGCTTCTGTCTAAGTTACCTTTCAGGAAACTGATTAAAATAGTCAAGGTCATTCAAGATTGCTCAGAGACATTACCACCCAAACTTTAACTTTACTAAAAATGGTCAATTTGTTAATAGTGCATGATTCAAGCTTTGCTCACTCATTTCTACGATCCAATGAGTTCACTGAAATATCCCCAAGTTTTATATTATCTATCTACTAACTTCCTTTGAAAAGCAACTCAGACGACCTCCAAAGATTATACCAGCACAGCTAAACAATGCTCACATTAAGCGTAGACGGTAATGATTAAAAGTCCTCCCTTCTATGAATCAGCAGCTCCTCTGTTAACTTGGTAGACTGCTGGCAATGAATCTAAACTTCTTTGTATGCTATCCACCTTGTAAGGAAATCTCTGCCTCTTTAGGCGTATTATTGCTTCCTGTTGGGGAAATCCCAAAGAAATGGTTGTTTCTGACAGCAGCCAAAACAAATAACAGCTGATTTAAAATCTTATAAATAGTTTATACTCATGTAGTATAGGACAGTTGAAATTCTACCACTTAATTTTTTGCATTGTCAATTGTGAAAAAGTTCTGGTAAGAAAAACAATTGCATTCTTATTATGGCTTATCGTAATGGTCCGAGTTTGAACGCCAAACATAAATACACATCCTAAGCCTGCTGCATTTTAAGACTTTCACAACAGGAAGTTTCATACACAGAATTTTGGCAACTTGATCAGAGGGATTTCAGAAAGTCACTCTAACTTAGTGTGTTCTCATGTTAGCAGAAATCCACAACTAGTTGCAGACAGTTATAAATTAATATGCTGTCATTGCCACATCAGTTAATCTTTGAGATTCCATGTTTTTAAGGCTCATTTCCCCGTAAGTGTAAAAACAGGTAGTCCTCGACTTACAATTGTTCGTTTAGTGACGGCTCAAAGTTACAATGACACTTTAAAAAGTGACTTATGACTATTTTCATTCTATGAACAAAGTTTAAACGCCTTGCAACTGATTCATATTTATGACGGCTGCAGTGTCCTGGGGTCATGCGATCCCCTTTTGGGACCTTCTGACAGGCAAAGACAATGGAGAAGCCAGATTCGTTTAACAACAGTGTTATTAACGTAACAATTCCAGTGATTCACTTAACAACTTCGGCATGAAAAGTCGTAAAATGGGGCAAAATTCACTTAACAAATGTTTCACTTAGCAACAAAACCTTTGTGCTCAATTGTGGTTGAAGGTCAAGGACTACCTGTATTTAAAACAGAACTTCAAAAATTGACTTTCATTTATCTCCAAATACAGTAACATTTCACTACATAAATCTCAATACAAAACTGCATAAATCTCAATACAGAAAGCTAGCAATTCTTCAGAGCCACAGCTGAACTTTACGATAAACTAAAGATGAGGGAAACCATCTTTTATAGTAATATTTAAATTTTACAGCTTCGGGAAGAACTTTTCAAAATTAGTTAATTTTCTGATAAAACTTTGAAAATGCACTTCCCCTGCCATCCCTATTCCAGAATGCAAAAAATATGTTTTAGGGCAAGGGTTGTACTATATACCCAATATTGCTGCTGAATTAAAATACCCAGTCTTCCTCACCATCAGTTGTGTTTCCAAGGGACTCTGGGAGTTGCAACTCAGAAATATTTAAGTCAGCCAAAGTTTAATATCCTTTACATGGATATTCTGAAGCTGTATGGAAAAACTCCATCTGTAATAAACTTAATACACAACACTGTCTGTATATACATGCAAGATGATGCAATGGATTACACAAATGTGGCATTCTTATTATCAACAGGGGAAAAATAGTGAAAACTGAAGGAATCAAAATACCCTATAGAAATAACAAAAGTTTGGATGAAGACTGTAACTAAAAATACCTGGGCATCCTTCAAGCTGACAACATCAAACACACGTAAAGAAGTAGTTTAGAAGTGAAGACATCATGAGAATGAAGAAGATCTTAAAAGCCCAAACTCAGGAGACATGGTCTTTCCTTTCCTGAGCAAGTAACATCTGGGGAAATCCTGTCATTAAATCACAGCTGGAATAGTGGGCTGGACTCAAGCAGAACTAAAAGCCATGGATAAGAAGACCACAAAATTAATGACAATGAATCATGCCTTTCATCCATGCAGCTTTGTTGATAGACTCTACTTACCAAGGAAAATAGTTAGTTGTGGAATATTGCAAATACATCAGACAACTGAAGAAGAAAAAAGAGAATTGGAAAATATTTGAAGGATGGTGAAGAAGATCCATTGAAATTAGTACCCACAAAGGCTAACTGAATGCCCGAAAGACCTACAAAAAAGGCCTACAAAAAAAGACCAAATGAAGAATAGGAAAGAGATAGGTAAAGAGATAAATTGCTACTCAAATGTCAAGCAACTCTGATCTTAACCCTAACTATTTTTAAAGCTTTTTTTCTTTTTAATGGAATATTAACAGAACATACCAGGCAGCACTATTGAACTAGTGCATATGATTGCATGAAGAGTTCTCAGACAGATTGTGACATCTTAGGAGGCATCAGCAAACATGAAAGGGTTGTAAATTTGAGGGGTTTGCCCATAAACACCAGGATGGTTCTCAGAACTTGTTCCTACTCTGCCTGGACAAGCCGGCTGTTAGCTTGTCTAAGCAAAGCAGAGACAAAAGTTCCAAGCATAGTCTGACAGGGCTCCAATTTTGCCCTTGCAAGTCTCATGGCTTACTCATGGCTTACAATGGCAAGCTGCATTGCTAACTGGATGTGCACCCACGCTGGCTGGATTTTTGAGCAGCTGCGTCAAAAGGAAAACTCAGACTTCAGGGATTACACATAATGAAGCAAGTTCATCTTTCTGTTAAAAACAATGGTTTAAAATTGTATGATTTTATTTATTTCCAATGAATAGGTTTTATTTTATAAACATACAAGGTTCCACCATTGTTGGGTTGGATAGTTAAAATTAAAAAGTGATTTTTAAATGTGGTACAAT